AATCTTAACTCCAAGCCACTTGTCTTATCTAACCTTCTTCATGTTCCTGCCATTACTAAAAACTTAGTGAGTGTATCTCAGTTTGCCAATGATAACCATGTCTATTTTGAGTTTCACCCTTCCTTTTGTCTTATCAAGGACCAGGCAACTCACCAAGTTCTTCTCAAAGGATGTCTTAAGGAAGGACTTTACCTGTTTGATGCTCAAATCCACACTCCAGCCAAATCCACCTCTACTTCCACCTCAGTCAAAAATCAAGCTATCAAGCCAAGAGCCTTTCTAGTTTCTAGCAATAAAAATGCCAACTTATCCTTGTGGCACTCTAGACTAGGGCATGCAGCAGTCAATGTAGTGACCAAAGTTATGAAAAGCTGTAATGTACCCTTTTTGATCAATGGAAAATTCCTATGCAGTTCATGTCTTCAAGCTAAATCTCATGCATTACCTTTTAGTGATTCTGTTTCTGAGTATTCATATCCTCTACAGCTTATTCACACTGATGTGTGGGGACCCTCACCCATCACATCTCAAGCTAATTCTCATTACTATGTTTGTTTTGTTGATCACTGCACTAGATTCACCTGGATATACTTTCTAAATAGAAAATCTGAGGTTCATGATGCCTTTGTTCATTTTAAAACCTTGGTAGAAAACCAACTCAATTTCAAAATCAAAGCTGTCCAAAGTGATGGAGGTGGAGAATTCATTGCCCTTACCAAACTTTTCAATGAATCTGGGATTGTCCACAGAATTTCATGTCCATACACTCCCTCTCAAAATGGTTTAGCTGAAAGAAGACATAGGACCATAGTTGAAATGGGACTTTCCTTGATCTCACACTCACAAATCCCACTGAAATACTGGGATGATGCTTTTAACACTGCAGTATATATTCTTAACAGACTTCCCACAAAGGCATTAAACTATGTGACACCCTTGGAAAAACTTTATGGTCATAAACCTAATTACAGTTCTTTTAAAGTTTTTGGATGCTTGTGTTTCCCTAACCTGAGGCCTTATAACAAACACAAACTTGAGCCTAGATCCTTGCCTGGTACCTTCCTTGGTTACAGCTCCAAATACAAAGGATTTAAGGTTCTCTTGCCAAGTGGAAAGATCATTGTCTCCAGAGATGTTATCTTCAATGAATACAAATTTCCCTTTCACAAACATACCCAAACTGAAGATCCCAGTAATCAAACCTTTCCTCAGATTGATCCTCCACCTGTCTTAACTAAAACCCATGCTCCCTGTGCTAAAACTCATGGTATTAACCAAGAACCAAATCCTCAAAGAACTCTCTCTCAAAGTCCTATTCACTCCCCTAACCTCAGACACTCTCCTTCTACACCTCAACAATCACCCTCATCTCAACAATCTCACTCACCTCACTCCAACAACACAGATCACTCTCAATCTAACACCACAATACCTCTTGTTGTTGAGTTGCCAATAGAGAGAGACAACATATCTGTTTCTTTACCTAACAATGCAGGTCAAGGTACAGGTCATCATATGGTTACTAGGTCCAAAACTGGCAAGCTCAAACCCAAGGTTTATTTGACTGAAACCTTGGATTCACAAG